AAGAGGTGATTCGGAGTCAGAGCCAATGCGTCACGGCAATCTGCACTCAAAGATGTCAAAGGCCGATCGTTTAGAATACGTTCCACCTCAACAAAAAAGGTTGACAGACAATCGTCAGATTGAGCTTGCCCTTGTATGAGCACAAAAATGATTTGTCGTACCGATCGTGTCATTCGCTCCCACACTCCTCCTTGATGGCTAGCAAGCGGGGGTTATAATGCCACTGAATACCTCGAGCCAATAGTCGGTTGTTGATTTTCACTTGGTCCCAAAGGGATACGTGCTCCCCGAGTTCCTTAACGGCATCCAATTCAATGCCCAACGCCCGCTGTGTTTTCATCGTCTTTGGAAACATTTCCACTACAGCTTCCATTCGTTCAGACGATGTGAGCCCTTTCAGTGCATCGGGGAAATTGCTCACCCACTTATGAAGGTGAAACCCCCCTTTGGATAGTATATCCGTTATTCCTCGCACAAAACTCTTTGCGTCAGTAACGGAAGGTAATGACACTAAGCAATCGTCTATGCAGAAGTTATTTATCACAGACGATTTGATTCGGTCGTCGTAATCCCCGCCGAAAACAGACACTGTTTGTCTCAGACCGAACTTGGCACAGAACGGAGAAGAGACGGCACCGAAGACATGAGAGGCCATTTGATATTCAGTAGGCTGACTATGAAGATCCTCCTGGGGAACCAAAAAAATCTCATAGCCTCTTGATCTGGCTGCGGTACATGAACTTGCATGAACATTTCCTTGACGTCTGCCGACACAGAAACCCGGTCTCTTCGAAACTGCAAAAGAACTCCCACCAAGTCAGCAGTTGTATCCGGGCCCTGAAGAAGCATGTCATTCAGCGATCTTCCGTGGTGCTCAGCTGCACAGTCAAATACGACCCGCATTTTTTCAGGCTTTCTGGGATTCAATACTGCGCGGTGAAGCAGGTACCATCTTGCTGCTGATTGTAAGGTTACCAGCTCAGAGGGAACCGAGATTCTTTTCGAGAATCCGTGACATGACGTCTGCGTATGCTTTGAAGAATTCTGGGTCATGCAGGAAACGTCTTCGCAACGAGTACAGTCTTGACAAGGCTACCAAACAGTTCAAAACACCTGTAGGTCGGTCTGCTTTTCAAGGGAACGGTACAACACAATGCCCCCTGAAGTGTTCCATCCCTGCGGTCACCAATTCTACTGCTCGTCTGTCCTCCTCCGATGGAGTTTTTCGAAGCAAATCGATGTTCTCAAAGTCAGCATCGTATAAAGCACGGAGTTGACCCTCCAATGATGTCTCCACTGACGACAGGCAGCCGGCGGCGACTCCCACACGGTTACCTGGACCCAGTGGCCAAGAAAAACCCAATCCAGCGGCGTCTTTACGGCAAATGACTCTTTTCGACCTCCCAACCGCTGGTACAGCACCCAGTGAGCTTCTGAAAATCTCCATCGGTGGAGGACAGACGAGCAGTAGAATTGGTGACCGCAGGGATGGAACACTTCAGGGGGCATTGTGTTGTACCGTTCCCTTGAAAAGCAGACCGACCTACAGGTGTTTTGAACTGTTTGGTAGCCTTGTCAAGACTGTACTCGTTGCGAAGACGTTTCCTGCATGACCCAGAATTCTTCAAAGCATACGCAGACGTCATGTCACGGATTCTCGAAAAGAATCTCGGTTCCCTCTGAGCTGGTAACCTTACAATCAGCAGCAAGATGGTACCTGCTTCACCGCGCAGTATTGAATCCCAGAAAGCCTGAAAAAATGCGGGTCGTATTTGACTGTGGAGGAGAGAATCGGACCCACGCAGCGGGATTCGGGACCCACAGTGCATCGCAAAAGGGTGCGGGGGTCGTGTCAGAGAGGACAATCTAGGTTGGTAGGGCCGCATGTAAGTACAGAACAACATCACCTTCTCGCCGTTGTTTCGAATCGGCTCGAAAAACAGAGGAACGGTCTATCGAAATCTCCGTGTCAGTGGAATCTGCTGTTAGCCAGGTCGCCGTGAGTCCGATTATGGACGGTCGTTCAAGACAAGCTGACTGTTTAACCTCTCCGGGTTTGTTGAAAAGACTGAGGCAGTTTGTGGACAAGCATTTCAACACCGTCTCTGCTGCCTCCGAGGGTGAGCAGTCCAAAGTTGCGTGACCAGGCTGGTTAGCAGACCTAATAGTTGTGCGCCGGGTTTGAGTCCAAGGCTCCGAAGGGGCCTCTGGAGCGATGTCGTCTGCTTCTTGACTTCGCGGTTTCTGGGGGTACTTTTCGCTTGCAAGGTTTTTTTCGCTCTGTGACAGCCGGGTTTGCTCGGGTCTTTTAGCTTTGAGGGACGGAGTTCTCCCCGTGGGAGAAAATTTCGACCGTTGCTGCTTGTAGCTCTTTCATCACCGCCTTTAGGGCCACCAGGTTTGCTGTTGACCAAAGATTTTTGGCAAACTTTCGCCTTTCTGGATTGTTGGGTGTTTTGGCGCGGTTTGACTGGAAGTGTCTCCGCGAGGCCCTGAGCCCTGGGCGGCACCACCAAGAAATAACACCCTTAGCGGCGCTACCATGAGGCTCGTTTTCGCGGAGGACTGCACATTGAAGCCAGCCTGCAGTTTACTAATCTGGCGAATCTTATAGGGCTTGTTCGGCTGCAGTCGCTTTTCTTTCGTGTTTGTGTGGACACCCGATCCGCCGGTGATTGGCGTGGCCAACCGGATGTATGAGGGATTTTCCGGTTGGCTTTAGTCACGTTTGTTGCTTCGGCTGTCGAGGTTCTGGGCGACGGCCGCGTACACAAGCAGGGGCTGCTTTGACGGAGTGGAGCTGGAGATTGGCTTCGCTTCTTGTCCCCGCACATCTGACTCAGTCCGGTTCAGAGGCTGTGGCTTTGTTGAGGAGTTCATGGCTGTGCCTTTATCGTCTGTTACGGAGGTAAGCGTTGATAGTTCCACGTACTTTGTGCGCTGCTTGAATATGAGGTTCGCCTCCTCCAGTGCATCGCTGCCTTTGGTGGACGAGGGGTCTGTGGTAGTCGAATATTCTGTCCGGATACACGACCGGTTGCGTTGGCATGCTTTCGGGAGAATAAGGTGCTATGGCCACAATCGGCTTGGCCATGAGTTTGGGGTTGGCTGAACTGGCGCCTAGCAGAATCTTGTTCCGCTCCTCTGCCCTTGATCGGCAGTGACTCAGCTTTCGCGCCCCTAGAGGGCGGTCCTCAGATAGACACCTGATCATTGGGTAGGTCTTTTGAATGCTACCAGTCCGCTATAAGATCTTCTGTACGGCAGATGGGGAGGAAAGGGTAACTAAAAGCCCAAGTGTACGTTTCCACCCTTCTGTTGTAACCCTTCTTGGTGAAGTGGCTGGTGATCAGGCTTAGTGAGGACGCTACCAAAGAGCGATTGTGCCAGATTCGTTGGCGTGATTTTTCCGGAAAATGACCCCCAGGTTATCAATCTGCTCTCCATTAAACGCCTGTCCCCTAGAGACACTGTGGCGGTCTTTATTGCCACGTCAGAGAGCTGTATGACTTTTCTTGTGGCCATCGGACCCGGGATGGATAGTGCGAGGCACTCGTTCAGCAAAGAAAGTTCTTTATCAACTTTCGTCCAGATTGCTGCATTCATTGATTTTGAATTTCCCAGTACTTTAGAAAGAAGCTCCAGTTTAGCGTCGAGCATCCCGCTCAAAGCGGAACACTCACATCGGGCTTTCTGTTTCTGCAGTGGGGATTAGGTTTCTTTTTTATGGGACCTCTTCTTGGCTGCGGTATGCGCTGCACCCTTAACGCATATGCAGCTGGCTCAGACAAACTGGTCATAAGAGTTAGCTAATCGGCTTATATGGTCGACTTGCAAGCCAGCGCATTTGAAGTGCCAACAGGCCTTGCAGGTGTGGCATTGCATACCGCGTTTGACGTTCGACAGCCAGCTATTTCGCCCACATCTGTTGTGGTCTATCGATGGCTGCAGGGGGCAATAGGTATAAATCGATGTCATGGGTAAGAGTGGATGCAAAATAGATAGTGAGTGCAAAATAACTAGGGTTATCTCTTAAAAGTTATGTTCGAGTGATAAAATCCAACAATTACCCGTGTGTAGGCTGTGAATAGATTGAATAGGGAAAAAATTCTTTCACAATTTTGCCCATTGTCCCGGTTTTTCTGGGTTTCTGCAACTGTGATAACTTTTCGTGTAAAAACGTGCCTCGTTGGTTGTAATTCCCTCCAAGTTTAGTTGTCGCCTGCCGCGTTCAGATTGTGACGATCCGATCATGCTTCAATCGGCACGCTTCCTGCAAGCTGAGAAGTAAACCTATTATTATCATTCTTTTCATCAGGTATTGCCCACCATTTACGGCGTTATGCTCTTTTTCGTGCACTCTCCAGTACCGCAAACCCCCCAGTCATGCTTTATTCTGACTGTAAGCATATGATCATGCCCGACGACATACCACTCAGAAGTAGGGAATAAACATTCTCATTATTGTAACTGCGAGCGGTAAAGCGGAATTTGCGCGATTGATTTTGAATTTCCCAGTACTTTAGAAAGAAGCTCCAGTTTAGCGTCGAGCATCCCGCTCAAAGCGGAACACTCACATCGGGCTTTCTGTTTCTGCAGTGGGGATTAGGTTTCTTTTTTATGGGACCTCTTCTTGGCTGCGGTATGCGCTGCACCCTTAACGCATATGCAGCTGGCTCAGACAAACTGGTCATAAGAGTTAGCTAATCGGCTTATATGGTCGACTTGCAAGCCAGCGCATTTGAAGTGCCAACAGGCCTTGCAGGTGTGGCATTGCATACCGCGTTTGACGTTCGACAGCCAGCTATTTCGCCCACATCTGTTGTGGTCTATCGATGGCTGCAGGGGGCAATAGGTATAAATCGATGTCATGGGTAAGAGTGGATGCAAAATAGATAGTGAGCGCAAAATAACTAGGGTTATCTCTTAAAAGTTATGTTCGAGTGATAAAATCCAACAATTACCCGTGTGTAGGCTGTGAATAGATTGAATAGGGAAAAAATTCTTTCACAATTTTGCCCATTGTCCCGGTTTTTCTGGGTTTCTGCAACTGTGATAACTTTTCGTGTAAAAACGTGCCTCGTTGGTTGTAATTCCCTCCAAGTTTAGTTGTCGCCTGCCGCGTTCAGATTGTGACGATCCGATCATGCTTCAATCGGCACGCTTCCTGCAAGCTGAGAAGTAAACCTATTATTATCATTCTTTTCATCAGGTATTGCCCACCATTTACGGCGTTATGCTCTTTTTCGTGCACTCTCCAGTACCGCAAACCCCCAGTCATGCTTTATTCTGACTGTAAGCATATGATCATGCCCGACGACATACCACTCAGAAGTAGGGAATAAACATTCTCATTATTGTAACTGCGAGCGGTAAAGCGGAATTTGCGCGGAACTCTGCCTAAGCCCCCCAGCCCAACGAAGTCTAACAGTGGCAGCTAAAGTAAATAGTCAATAGGGGCGTTTTAGACCCAGGGGTTGAAGAACGCAACCCAATCAAATTAAAAAAATATCCAGCTCGGTAGCCTTAAGGTTCAGGCAACCCTGTTTACTGTGTGGCGTTTTGTACCTTCAGTTTACTTCCATTATAACACTACGTATTTCATCAATTGCATAATCGTTTTTTGTTTGAATACGAAAAACTACAAAAACGCGCACTTGTACAATTTCACATAATACAAGCGTGGTCACGTGCTTCGACTCTCTCTTCTGATTTCGCTCGCGCTTGCAGCGGTCATTCGCGAGTCTCATGTACTAACTCTGGTACCAAAACATTTCAGACATCTTCGGAATCTATTGTATGTGGGAACTGTTCAGAAGAAGACCTCTGGAACAACATAATTGGATTATTGTTTATTCGCTGATCTGGGCCAAACGACGAACATTTTAAAAACTATTTAAAACTATTTAAAAACTATGGTTTGATTACCAAACCCTTCCAAAACTGTGGCTTCTCAATCAGTCTCAAACTTTCCAAGTGACTGATGACACACAGGTAACTGTTCTCAAACTGCTCAGAACTATTGTGTACCTGGGCCCTAAGGAGAAGCAAGAAGCGCCGGAAAAGCTTACCGGGAGCCAGTACCTTAACGGCCGCAAGTTCGCATCTTTATCTGGCATACGCGGTGTCAAAAGATAGACAAACTCGAAAGAAATATTTGGCCAAACTGGCCGGCTATTTCGGGCCACGAACCCTGAGCACAGTTTCCGAACAGTAAACAGGGATGAAAATACTTTAGATTAAACGTTTGGGCAGCGTTTCCTCCGTCGGAAACGGTTGTTTAGCAGGTTTTTCCACAACTACCCATCTCCAAAGTGATCACCTTTCCGACCATAATTTGATCAAAGCTTAGATCGTTTTGATTAGGTCAATAGGTTGACTGGTGCAGAGTAGGACGAGATAGGAGCAGTTTGTGCATCCAATGTCCTTAGCTTATACAAGGGGACGTTGGAAGGCGGTACTGATTTGAATTTACATTTCTGTGTTGTGATCTTAAAGGTTCCTTCGTATGGCTTTAGAAGTGCCATATTTGCATAGCATTTTCTTATTGACCGCCATGTTGTGACCTGGACTCACCAGTTTGAGAAGTGGTCTCACTAGGTCTTTGTTGACAGGTATTTCAGTGTTACCTGGTATGGTATAATGCCGTACTGAATGGTTACAGTTTATCGTCTGAGCATATCACCATGGCACAAATGATCATAGATCCCATGGTTGTGCAGGTATTGTAGTGCTGAGGAGATAGCAGGCGGGCCTCCATCTAAAAGTACTTTAACCAGCACTCTGGAACATTCCGCGTTCTGCGTTTATTTAACCTAACCTGGGCTAGACTCCGTTCATTTTTATGCATACTAATTCAAACCAGTTTATTTGTACGCCCAAAGAAGCAACGTCAAGACAAAATAAAATGAGAAGAGCTCGAAACATCTGGCGGAGGACACTTTTACAAGGACCATTCAGGTAGGTTTTCTTTATTTTCCAGATTCGCTGGCTGTTTTTGCTGTGTTTCTTTCCTTTCCTTGAGCACGTGGACATCCGATTGAATGTTTATCCGGAAAATGTCGTCGGATTGTTGTCCACACTGCGAATGCACTGTTGCACCTCCAACTCCCAATATCTTCGTCCAGATAGAAGCTTCTTTCATCCCCTTGCATGGATTTGTGACCTGCTCATTTTGTACGATTCGAATTATACACCCGAGTTCTCAGGCGTTTAACGCGGAGGCTTGGAATTCTGAAGCATGCCAGCTAAGACTGACGGCATATCGGACAATCTACAATCTCTGTTGCGGCAAAAGTCCTCAAGGCCAGTGAGACGAGAAAACTTCGCGGTTGTAATTCCAGGCCACTTAGCTGTAAATCACAAGGAAGCAGCTCAACATTGCCCCAATTTAAAAGGTCGTTTGTTAGCCTTTCAATTTAGGAGGGGTTGATACGGCAGTTGACTAAGGAAGTCATCGAATTCGGTAGTTTCGCCTTCTGTGCCCTTCATATCACTCTTTCTGCACCCTGGTGTCCATCCAAACTTGCCGCTATCTGTTGGTGTCACACCTCAGGGCACAGTTTCTCGTGTGTCTTTATCCTACTCAATTAGGTACTTAAACGCTCTCTTACACTTGGTCTCTCTCGACATACTGGACCAAAGTTGATGGGTATGCTCCTTGTTTAAGTGAAAATAGATTGTAAAACCATCCACACAGCAGTCTGGTAGTCGATTGCGTATCCTACGTTCCGTTACTCCCTAGCTAAGCTTTCTATTTCTGTGGCTTTCTCTCCTCGCTTACCTAGGTGGTTGAGGCACAGCTTAGATCACTTAGACCAGATGTGTTCATCTAGGCTCCTCACAGCCAAGTCTTTTTGAGCTCGAAGTATATCANAACTAATATAGGAGACGGAGGTGAGATGTCCGTAGTTAGAGCGCGGAATGTCCGCGGTTCGAACCCGACATCGGCCTCTCGACTTCCCCTGTCTAGGTTTGGGCAACTTGGCGGTACCCCATCCCTCGTGCTTCCATCGGGTTGTATAGCGGTCGGGGACCGAAAGTGTGCTACAGCTGAACGGTTTTTATTTATTTATTTATTTATTTATTTATTTATTTATTTATTTATTTATTTATTTATTTATTTATTTATTTATTTATTTATTTATTTATTGTTCCGTCGATCACGGGGTTAAATAGGGATGGGGAGATTCGGCATCCCTGACGGATACCGCTCTGTGAAGGGAAGCATTTCGTGAGCTCTCCCTTTATACTCACACGTTCGAAAGTCCGGGAGTAAGGGAACATATTGTATTCACAAACTTCCGGGGCATTCCTTGATGTGTAAGCATGTCAAGGAAAACAGACCGGTCAACCGAGTTGAATGCGTCTTGGAAGTCTAGGAATACTAAATTTCCGGGTCGTATGTGCGTATCGTGGAGTGTGGATATTTGGTCAACGCAACTCCTTCAAGGTCAGAATCACGCTTGCTATTCTCCAGTCGGTGTTTGACGAGCCACTAAAAGGCGACGACGCTAGCAGTCTCGTTACGAACGGGGTTAAGCTGTTCCTCTCGTGGTTGCAATACTCATTACGGTCGCTTTTGAAAACGGGCACTTTCACTGACACCACTCAGTTGTCTGGGACAGCCGCGTTTTCGCAAATGCAGGCAAACAGATAATGCAAGCGCTGACTGAGGACTTCTACCCCTGCGCAGCCGGAAACGAGTGGAGAGTGACTGGGGTATCTCAACCACTATGCTTGCATCTTGAATTCTTCTTTCTGAGACAAAGCGCACACACGTCAATGTTAAGCGAGTCCACTGTGATAGCGAGAGCACCTTGTTGTCCTGTCTGCTTCAGGGTGAGGACACTGAAGGGGGCATGTTTACTGGACATCGGGGCGTGAATATCACTTTCGAGATGCTTGAGGATGTCGGCGCTGGATGCTGTGCAAATGTTGCTTGTAAAACCGATGTGGGATGCATGGAGTCATCAGTCCTAAATGCTGAGCCTACAAAAGGAAAGTTATTAGTCGAATTGCGAGAAGGAGAGGAAAACGTAGGTGAAAGAGGAAGAATGGATGCGTTAGTACTAGCCTGTTTTAATTTATCCGCCTTGCTGTATGCAGCTAGCAAGGTGGCCCGGCTGATGGCACCAGGCGTCAGCTGATGTGACATGAATTTATTTTTATATGTGCGATTCATAGTTATACGTAAGCTTGGATACTCCCAGGGCGCCCACATCTAGAAGATGGAATGATTAAGGCTCTCAATCAAAGCCGTTGGCTCAAAAGCCTGACCGCAAGGCAGCGGTGTCTGGCGGCAGAGGCCACTACTTGCCATGTTGCGGTGCAAGTGGCCACACATGCTCGAACATCAACCTGGAGGACCAGGAGACTGTTCGTCAGACCTTTGACCATTGGCCAACTTGGTATGAAAGACTCTGCAAGCGTCACGCGAACACCGCCCATCATAGCTCAATGGGTCGCACAGGTACGCAAACCATCACACCACCGTAAGTCCCAATCTCTTCGTAACGACCTTAAGCGCTTAGCATGATTATCACTCTCAACCGTGTGCTCTCAACGCGTGCTCTCCGGCAATAGCACCAGAGGGTATTGGTTGGCTGCAATGGTCACGATGCATAGAGGCTGCCAATGTGATGTGATCCACCACCGAGGCACAAGGTGCGATGCCGCCCCACCATGCTGCACAGATCGGTACCCAGATCTTCAAAGCCTTCGTTTTTCGGATCCTGTTTTGCCCAACACAAAAGTGGTCTTTGTAATCAGCAAAGGCATTTTGTCGAGTTTAGGTATATCGATCCGAAGCATAGACATTTGTTCAATGTTCGTGTCACTTTTTAGTGGAAAAACCTCCAATGACCATAAAGTTGGATGAAAACTAAGCAGAAGTTTTCTGAATTTACGCTTTAAAAGCGACCGGTACTTCCCTGTAGTCAGCGGCGGAAGCTTTTTCGCCATTCATTCTTCCGCTTCTCGAATTTTCAAGCCACCCGCAAATACGTACCCAAACCCCAAACTCTTTCTCGAAGGTATTTTTAATACAATGTGATGTTATCGGCATTAAATGTACTCAAAGTTTTACACTCAGTTAGCAGGCGTAGATGTATCTGTTGAGTTCCCAGTGCTTCATCAGAAAAACAATAGCATAACAAGACAAAATATAAACCATACTTGGACTCATTTTAGATAAATTTAAGCCATAGCTCTCTCAGCAAAACCGAAACCACTTTTTGAGATTGGTAGTAAAACACCGTACTGATCACCAGTGCTTTTATGGAGACCACGGTTTCCAAAGGCGATATCTCGTCCTGATGTTCGCGTATCTTTCCGAGCCATGCATACAATTTAATTTGCCTCCACTTGTTTCTAGCTAGCATGGATGTGGCATCCATTCTCGTTTAATCCGCTCTGAACGACACTAATCGTCTGTTTTTTCTACTAATTACGCTCCGACTGGTTCTTCCTCTTCACCATCATCTCCTGCTCTTAGCCTTGCAACTGAGCCATTCAAGGCTCCTCGTTCCAAAATTTTGGACAGAACTATTTTCTTTAAAGCTATGGATAACTGGTGCTTCATTTCCCTCGTGAAACATTGAAAAAAGGGGAACCGATCGACCCAGTAATTCTGTTGGATGGCTGGATTGTTGACGGCCATCAACCGGTTTTTCTAGAGAACCTTAGTGTTTCTAATTTTGAACCGTCGGCCAGAGTCCTTCGGGCTGAAGAAATATGTCCTCTCTATCTACCTCATTCGAACTGACAAATGTCATACTGCGGTAAAACTTCTTCCTCTCCTTTCCTCCCCTGAAGTGAAACATGCAAGTTATACAGACAAGGAGTAGAGACAGTGTTGAACAGACAGTGATTGGTTGATGACCACAATAGGCGACAATGCTGAAGATTTGAGAAATTCTCTGAAGAAGTCAGAAACTCCGCCTGATACTCCCACCGAACAGAGCGAACTGGGGTGCGGCGAGTGGTTTCCCGAGAGCACAAAATCTCACAGTGTGGGCTTTCGGTATGTCAGGCATGTATGCAGACAAAAACCTTGGACGAATGAACCATGCTACGTTGCCGAGGGGCATTAGGATGACCAGATAAAAATCCTGATAACATTTAAAAATGGCGCGGCGTAAAAGGAAGACATCCCAATAGGCGTAGAACTTACAGCACGAAGAGCCGTACACTGTCAGATTATCTTAATTGCACACAACATTGCTCATGGGTTTGTGTGTGGATTCTTGTCGGACCCCACCTTATAAATTTTACCGACGCATTTTAAGATAACTGAGAGAAATCCTGTTATGCAAAAGATGCGCCTAATATTTGGCTACTTATTGATCCGCATAGCAGAACGAAACGTTTCGATGTGCCCCAATTCCAAACATTAATGGATACCGGTCAATCGGAAAAAATAAAGGACAGACCTCTAATTGACCTCTAACTGACCAGTAAGACGATTAGAGCATCTGCTAACGAGAAATGGGCTGTGCGGAAACACCAGCGGCGACCCCGTGGTCAGCGTGGTCAAGCGCTTCTAAGAAAGCGCCACGTAAGGATATCGAAACTAAGCGAGGCGAGTCGGACAAATAATTCAGTGGAATGATATAAGACACCAGTACTTTGCATGTGACTGAAAGAAAAAGCCAGTAACACAGCGACCAGGCAGCTTGAAACTCGTAAACTTCATCAAGCACCAGTCAGATTCCCAAATTGTATACAGGTTGTCTAACGTAAGTTTCTGGAAAAGCATCCGCGCAGACGGGCTTGAAATTTCTCTTGTTGTCATATCTGAGTGTACGGTTGCCGAATAAACGAAGAATTGGATAATCTTCCTTGTTTCCTCTATTATCAGAAGAGGTTACAATGTTGAAATACGATACGTGACTATCCCGATGACCCAGTCAGCGGAAAATAATGACAACACGAAAAAAAGGAAACAGAAAAGAGGATTAAATTCCTTTACTGACTAACCGAAACGAACTGTCCTGTTGTAGGTCGTGAGGAATCAAACTTCATAAAATATACTGCTGGAAAGTACCGCGACATCCGACATCTTCCAATTATAACTCTAATGCTTAAATTCCACCTCGAATAAAGAGATTTCATTAAAGTGACTGTTTCACTCGGGAAACACTCCAGATGCCTGTGTTTACACTGATCTCCAGGATTACTGAAGGCTACAGAAATTCGTGAACAGATGCATTAACTATCCTCACTTATTCAGCAACGAGCCTGGAACCAATTTGAAATAACGCAACGCGACGATGGGAAACGCGGTATGTGGCCGCAAACAAAACTGCGAACGCTGGTTGACTCCAATCCGAACAGACGAGTATGTGTTCACAGCTGTCAGCTAAGCTTTGCACCGAATGATGCGGCCAGACAAACACTATCCTTCCCTTAACACGTCAATCATTTCAAAGGAGACATATGTACCTTTCGTCTCCAAAGTTAAGCTGTCATTTCACAGTATCCGTCATTCGTGAGGTATATTCAGCTGGTAGGAAAGCCGTGTAAACAAGTACAGAATCTTCTATCATCCAGGCATGTCCGAATTCATTGAACTGCGCAAGCGAATGAATTAGGGAATTTGACCTATGCGTACTTGGACACACAAGGTACTTACATGGATAATTGGATGGTACGGATAACTGACTGCCACAGAAAACTCGACAGTAGGTAAGTTGTAGTTAGAACCACGTACGTTTTCGTGAATTCACCAATCAAGTGCCAATAAGGGTTACATATACAATGGTGAGGGACCGAAAACTTTCAAGAAGGTACACCTCATCCCAGAGGAAAGAGAACCGAAGAAGAGGATCGTATCGGAAAGGCGCGTTTCCTCAAAGTGGCAAAAACATCTGCGCCGTGAATAGCGGAGGTAGAATATTCGAAAGAGAGTGATGATTCGTTTTAGAAGGACTCAGTAAACAATCGGTAGTTTTTTTATTTGGGCAGCGTTTCGCTTTTGATACAGCGCAAGATTTTGACAACCACACTAACAGACAAGAGCCGTTAGCCGACACTCAACACTGACCTAGTGTGATAATCTCAAGAGGACTCACTGACTGGTCCCCCGTCGGTCTTATAACCTGGCCAATTTGGTAACCTACTTTTTGTGTCAAAAGCGGAGCGTTGCCCAGTTAAAAAACTTCCAATTATTTACCAAGCCCTTCTGAAATGATGACTTCTCAATGGGTTCCAAACTTTTTCTAGCTGATTGAGAGATTGAGCTTGATTGAGATTGAACTTCTGCTAGAGAGTGTTTTCAGGTTGTAGATAGTGTAGTCTGTTTCGGAAAGTTTTGGTTACGAGACCTTAGTCGTAGCGTACTCAACGTTGTCAAGTCACAAGAAGGTGCTTGAAACCCCATGCTTGTTTGGAGTTTAAAGACACCTGAAGCTTGGGATCGTTAAAAAGTGATTGTCAGTTATATCTTAGCATGTATAATGGTGAATAAATCGTAATGTTTGGAACGTAGAGTATCATATTACTTAGCTGATCAGCTTCTGGTACCAGAAAGTGATGAGAGATAGAGCAAATATGACTAAACCTTATCAATAAGACTCAGAGCATTTACTGCTTGGGCGATTGTATTTTTTGGCGTTTTTTTTTCATAGCGGCATTCAATGCGTTTTGTTCATACGTTTTTTAGGGTTTGTTCTCTAAGCATTCAATTGTTACTAACATGGCTCAGTAGACGTACCACAAATGACGGTTTCGTGTTCTTATCATTCACAAAAGGTGCCACTACGTGTTGAGTGTGTGGAACATTACCAGGAATATGATATTCTACAACTAAATGTGCTGCACACAGGCCGCCTCATGATTCAGTTGGCACGATATTCGAGATATCGCAATATATTTTCATAAAGGAAACTACTCACAAGGTTGCTGAAAACTCTTTGACAGCCCACGACCGGTTTCGCCCTTCTTGGGGCTCATCAGGTAGGCGCAGTCGCCGAGTTTCCGTCAACCTTTTGTTCTACTTGAAACCAAATTGGACTGTTTTTGAGAAATACACTCATTTGCAGATCAATTTGGACTGCCTACCTGATTACCCTTAAGAAAGGCGAAACCAGTCGTGGGTTGTCGAGGAGTTTTCAGCAACCTTGTGAGTAGTTTCCTTTATGAAAAAAACTAGGAATAATTTTTTGAAGGAATACTTCTCACAAGTTTTCTGAAAACTCCTCCACAGTTAATATTAAGTTCTGCACAGAACAGTACGAGATTCTTTGAGTTCACTTATTTGCACAACAATTTGGTTCGCATGGGAGACTCACTTGAATCCCGACTCAATCTTTCTGCACAAAGGCCACCTCAGGTTTTAGCTGATACGCATTCGAGATATGGCGATCTTTTGAGTCGTGTTCTCTCAAGAAAATGTACTGCGAATATATACTCAAACATGAGACTCACATGCGATCCAGTAGAGTCTTCCGTGGAAACGGAAGTGGTGTGCAAATGAACATATTGGGGCTACTTTATCGATCTGGTTATATACTCGGAATACTGTATACATGTTCGTTCAACAATCGTGTTCCAAGTGCTGTGAAAGCTAATATTACGCAAAGCCTTTGCAAAAGCCGATGAAGCTGAAGCAATTAAGTTGTTCGGTTTTGGGCACTTGTCAGACTAGTCTTCGGGACTCTGTCCACTTTGACTGGGCTTGATTAGAAAACCAAGCGCCCTTTCTCATTAAAGTCGCGGTAATGCAGCGAGCGACTTTTGAGGTAGCAGGTTCCCAAACCCGTACAACAGAACACCAACATTTATAGCAGAGGGGACACTATAAGAGGCAGTGAGAATGGCAGTTCTGGAAGCCAGTGTTGGATATTATACAGCCAATCGAAGCCATCGCTCTCAACTTCCAAAAAAGACTTTCACCCCAGTTGACTCTGAATGAGACACTAGCACCAAATATTGAAAGTAAGTACTCACTGGTCTAATGAGTGCACATGTTCTGCGTGAAATGACTGACAACTACAACGTCGTGAGTCACAGTAATTCATATTCTGTTGTTGCCAAAACGTTTTGCAGCTTATGACATCTTTCGCGGTTTGCTAAAAAGTTCCATCCTCTCACCGTGTTCAGTCTGACTTCCTGGCTGATTTACACTGGTTGCATCCCGTGGAATGTGGCGGAAGCAAAACAGTAGCATCTTACAGTGAAAAACGAATTTCCGACACTGGAGAGGACTTCCATGACATATTTTGGCGCTTGTTACGCGGTCGACATGAGCAGTCCCTGACGCCAGTGTCTCTTTCAAAGCCGGTTGATTTGATGGTGACGTCCAATTCGAGCGCAGGTATCATGCTTTCCCAATGATGTAGATGCCATAAAGATAAGCTTTCGGTTGCTGCAGCGTCTACACTAGAGTAAATCTTCTATTATATAAACAATGACAGTCGGGCAGGCAATGTATTGTGGCTAACGTGACCAAACAGCCCAGATAACTTCATTTTAGAAGAGGTGCTGACATCAAGGAGCTCTAGTTTCAGCGAAAGGATATCACTCTTTAAAGGCTGATACAACTTTCGGAGCGTTAATGATGATACGCTGCATCTTACGTTAGCCGAGTAAACAGTAAACGCGAACGTTTTCAGTGAAGCACCTTATCCATCAACCGTTCCGAGGCTTTTCTATCAGATTCACGACTAACAGGTATTTCTACGAGAACTCATCAAATGTAAATAAATCCGTAGAATATAAAACACCTCAGTCAACAAACAAGTACGCACCAATGTAGACTACCAAACAAGATACAAATTTGAGAGACAACTGAACTTGAAGCGGACATCCATTAGCTGGTACAGTCAGTCGAACCTCGGACCTCAATACACTGAAAATGTACATCTTGATATTCGGTCAGTTTTAGACCATTCTGAAAGGCCAAAATCATAATCGATTAGTCCACTGTGGGTCATACTTCATTCGCAGAACTTATACCAAGCTTCCTTTCACCGGCAATCAAACCTTGTTTTCATTACATGCATGGACGATCTCGAGACACTACTTCCATAAGATAGCCACGAAACCTTTTTAGCGCAACAGTCATTGGTGTAAAGCTGAGTTTTTCTAGTCCGTTATTTTTAAACGCAGTACTTTCCAATAATTCTGTGGCTTATTGACTTTCTAATCAAGACAGCTAAACGACCATGAACGGGGGATTCATTGTGACCGATGAAGCATAAATTGCAGAAGAGTCCACAGAGCAACAATTTTCGTCATTTCTAAGTAACTTCTGGGTGAGCTTTCAACCATTCTAGACCAAGTGACATTTTATCCAGTCATCTTATATGGTCAGAATAAATGCCATGTTGTCCCACGGGTACAGACTGATGCAGTATATACACTTCCGCTATCGTCAACCTCACGCAGGGATCTTTTTACATAGCTAGACTGCATTTATGAGTCATTTATTTCCACTGTCATTGGGATTATCTCTCCTGACTTCTACTGGTGATGGAGCAGTTCGATCAGTGGGCAGTTTTTATTGCCTTGCCGGATGGCCTGGGTACAAAAAAAAACAAAGTAGAAGCGAGAAAAATGGGAGGGTACGCCTCAGGGGCAGTCATCCAAAACTTGAACCGACAAGCGGAAAGTTTTCCAGACCAATGTGGATGAAAAAGAACTCTGTGTGCATGCGTCGATCAGGTTTTATCACCAGAACTGTTTCCTAAGACACGGAGTAGATTGGGCATTCTGATATGGGCAGAAAGTCGCTGTAATCGTCTTTTCCAATGCAAAGACCATGTTGTTATTAGTATTATGCTGTAAGAATCAGCATAGACATGACTAAGGCATAAAAATGGTGTGCATATTTGGTCACAAGCGAACAAATACGGAACGTCTCATAATAGACGCAAAAAATACTATCCACGTTAAAACTTCAGCATTAATTTAAACGCTTATCATTTTTTAAGTAAACATACAAACATTATGGATGTTTACTGCAAACAAACTGGCATTACAAAAATTTTTGAAAAAAAAAGCCCTTTTTTTCCATAACAAGTTAGAGGCGGTATGAGATGTGAGACACATCATGTTTAACTTCTTCAAGTGTCACTCGTGCACACTCCTCTTCAATTCTTGCTCTTAACTTCACCAAATTCTTCGGTTTATTTTTATGATATACGTGAGCCTTGATCATTCCCCAAAACCGATAATCCAGAAGTGTGTTCTCGGGTGACATTGCGGGCCAAAAGTTTGGAAATCCACGAGCAGTGACTCTCATCAGAAAATTGCTCTCGGAGGTAAGTTCTCACTTGGTTTGAGTAGTGGGGTGGAGCACCATCTTGTTGAAAGACAGTCGATGACTTCTTGTGTTGC